TATTATGATATTATTACTAATTTTTTCTCAAGTCTTTCGCCGCTTACTCACTTTCTCTTCTTGACAATAAGGGGAGAAAATTAGCGGGTAAACAAGGTGAGCTTAGTTCTCAACTTTAAAGTTGCTTTAAAAAAATGGCAACTGCATATTCAAGTCTATTTTGTCGACAGCCATAAGGAACTATCGTAGCTATTACATTAGGGTTTTCGTAGAACGTCGGCGTCGGACTGTGGGCCCCACGCGAGGTCTGTCCACTTTAAATTGACGGCTCCCCCAAGCAACACAAAAATCTTGCATACTCTCGCGTGTGATCTACTAATTCCCCATTAACGTGAAAAAAAAGAGCAGCTATATATTTGAATCATGCGACAAGATAAAGAAACAACAATTAACCCTGTCCTCTGCACAGCTGCCAATTCATGCTTCTTGCTATCTTTCTTGAATCACATCCCAGGAACAAAATAAAAGTTTTTAGGAGACAGATACCCTTCTGTTTAATACGATGCTGTGGCATTTGAGTAACTTCTGCATTCGGCATATTGCTTTACGAAGCGCGAGGCCAGCACGACAAGTGGACCAGCCTCCCGCATTGTTTGCTCCTCGTGCTGCTAACAAGTATAGGCGCGCCTCGCCAGGTGGAGGGGTGGCGCTGCGCATGTGCGGCGAAACTTCAGCCGCAGACTGGCTGATCTGTAAATGATCGAGCATGCGAACATGCATTTTCGCTGTGGTCTACCACTGGGGGGCACCTTCCTTTACACTGTCACATGCACGTGTCGGCCGAAGTTTGACAGCATCACGATTTTAGGCAAAGGAGCTGATAAGACTGCGAGAGTGTTGCTGGAAGTCTACGCGATAGGAAAGGAGGGTGATAAATCTGTCAAACATCACTGTATTTACACTAGAGATAAATTTTTTGAGCACGTGTTGACGCTATGACAGTGTGGTTCTTTACCTCGGTGTTTTCTATTCATTAAGGCTGTGTCTACAGTGCCGCCCGACAGCATTCCACTCGCGCCTACAAGTGCCATCTGAAAGAAAGTCGCACGGTGCGTGTATCACTGGGGAGCTTGTTATCCCACCTTCCCTCTTATGTTCATGCCGCTTTGCAGCAACACTATGCGGCTGCTAATTACAAAACTGTTAAACCACTTGGCCCCGTCGTACACGCTGATTCGCGGCGTCCAGCCGGCAACCCAAGCCCCGCTGTCCCCCATGCACCCCCGGAAATGGAGTCCCATAAAATTTTCTTCAGCGAAGTTTCGTCGACAACATCTGTTTTTTTCAGTGTTAATCGTAAAAAAAGAAACGTTGCAAATTTTGCCAAATGCCTCGACAAAACAAAAAATGTTTGAGAATAAAAAACAAAAAAAAAGTAACCCCACACTGTGGATCGAACCCGGGACCGCTGCATACAAGGAGGTTATAAATACTAGTGGGGGGGAGGTTGCAATATTTGTGAAGCCTAGCCATAAAAATTGTAAACGATTGTTTGGCCAACGTGACCGTGAGACTTCCGACAATTGATGCACGTGACGTGTCACGTGCGAGATGGATGGTTGATTATAGAAGGATTCCTTGCAGGGGTTGCGCGCGCTCCGTCCAGTAGGTTTTATCAAGGCGAAGGCTAGACGTGAAGCAGGCAAGCGGTCAAGGCGGATCAAGAGCAGACGACACACCGCTGCTGGAGCACGGGACGATCAAGGCAATCACCGCAATTGAACGGAGAAAACGAAAGCCTGGCGTCACCGGGACGCTAATTTCCTCCGGCTACGGGATGGGCGCTTGCAGTGTGATCGGCTGCCGGAAACTTTTCTTCAGCGGGGCCACCTTTCACCGGTAAGCCCTTGGCGTATTACACACACGGTTTTACGAGAATAGGAATCAATCAACAATTCTCTTAGGTTTCCAACGGTCGCTGGACTCCGGAAATGATGGATTTCAGCCGTTGGTCGCGGCGGTGTCTGAACCCCATTGAAGTGGAGCGTGGTGTGCTTCGCGCACTTCCAATTGTCAATAAAACATCTCCCAAGCTCTAGTCAAGTTGTGATGGTTCAATTTGTCCCCACCGCAATAAAATGTCCCAGTGGACGGCCTGCACAGCGGTCGCAACGAAGAGGAAAAGGTAAACGCATTGTGTGTGATATAACATGAGAGCGATTAGAGCGCGGGCGCAGAAATCATCGCCGCAAAAATGCCCAAGTATTGGTCCAACCTGTCGAATTGACATATAGTTATGAAATCATGTTTGTATATAATTTATTATTGCTGTGGCTAGTGTATTAATTAGTGGCCAGGAGATAAAAAAAAATACACCCCGCTGATGCACGCAGATTCAAGGCGCATTACCCAAAACACGCCAGCAGGCAATCGTTACAGCGCTGACGTTCCAAGTTGAATACTGTCGTTTTCAGGATGGTAACAGTCTGTAGAAAACAAAATGAATTTATTTTATAGTTGAGGGTACATAACGAAGCGCAGAAGGAATCGGTCGGCTGGGCGCGGGCCACAGTTTCTAGCATGTGATGACTGATAAATGAAACCCAACAGCACCACGCTCCCTACCACCAGCAACCATCAAGTAGGCGACGGTCACGTGTTGTGGTCACGTTGGCCCAATCAGTAAGGAAGGTAAGGAGGAAAACGAGAAAGAGGCGACAAGGGAGCATGGTTTGTGGAGCATACGTGGCTGACGTCATTGCCCCCTCCTACCCTTCGAATCTCCCTGTTGCGTATGGGGCAGACAAGTTGTAAAGCTACGCTACTTTTTCTTTCTTTATTGTTACGCTACGCTAAAGCTTTGAAAAACTCGTTTTGACAATTCGCTTTATACGAGACTTTCGGACGGCACTTGAAGGCGTGACTCGTGAGAGGACTACCGTCGGACGGCACTTAAATGCTCTACAAGAGTGCCGTCGGACGGAACTCTGCACACTACGTTTCCTTAAACGTTCAGTTGAAGTTCGGCACCCGTGATGTCCGTTCCACCCTTTGTCTCTGTATTTTTCGCGTGCTGCTACCAGTTTGTAATCATGAACCAAATCGCCTGCATCGCTACATTTGATCGACTACTCGTTTACCTGCCAGTCTCCGTACGCAAAAGCGCGAAAAGTCAACGTTGAAGAAGTCTTAGATGAATGGACGGCCAAGCAGGGAATTGCGAAGTTTATTTCAACGGTATCGCCTCGCATCTCACAATTCAGTCTTGGGAACAGTACCTGTTTGTTGAGCAGAGAAGTCTTTCACGCGCTGCGGTTGTTGTTGTTGCCCCTGTTGTTGCTGATAAAAACGTTAAATGAGTCATGGATCAATGAACACAGCTGGAGCTGAAGCCTTTGAATCGGGCGGCAGCTTGCGTCCTCTGGTCAGTAAGAATGAATGGACAATTAAATGGGTGAAAAAGTTTCCTCCCCTAACCGAAGGTGACAAGGGTGGCATACACATACAAGGCCAATGCCTGCGAAACTTCCTTTGCTGCGACTAGCGACAGTCGCGAGAGCGTGGCGAGAGCGACTCATACGACAATCGACCACTGACGATCAACTTCACACTGCAGGCGAGGACGCCGTCCGTGAGAAGCAGCAGACGAAATACACAAATGGCAGCTAAATCAGCCAAGGGTTTTTGGTTGGTTTCGGTTTCGGTCTTGTGGTTTGCGGCACAGCACCGCTTCTCACGTGCTCCGCTCCGTTTGGGTACAAATCCAGATTGTTAGTGGACTGTTTTTTAAACTGAGGTTTAGCTCGTTAAGTTGTTTATTTGTATAATGATTTTGTTTATTGTGCATAAAGATGTTTCGTTGCTTCACCAGCTGGCTCTGCATCTTTGTTGTTGTGACTAGGTGTAACATTGTGTGCGACACCGGACTGTAATAAAGCGAGCGATATCTGAGGAAAGAAGAGGGCACATACAATCTAATTTGCATGGGCATTCAAAGACGCGGGAGAGCAGGCGCGTCAAGAGTGGCCAGGCCCCGTGACGACAGCATTTGGCAGCCCTAAAATGGGTTTTTATCAGGGTAATAAAATAAATAAACCGTACACTTGACGGGAAAATGTATGTTGTTCCGTAGACTGTTGTCAGGTCAGTTCTAGGCAGGGCAATACGGCTCTAATTCGGTTGGAACCAGGGTTTCGACGTGGCCTCCTAGGCGGCAAATGCAGAGGCCAAGCCCTGGTCACGTACTCTCCGAATGCACCAGCTTGCATTTCGTCCATGATGAGAGCGAACGCTGCCGGCCTCGATGCGCTGCTTCGTCGAGTGTGGGGATGCGGCCCTTGCAGACCTGGGACTTCACAAACCCCCAAAGGAAAAAGTCGCATATTGTGAGGTCTGGCGATCGGGGCGCGCCCACGGCACGTTCGGCGATCCCCGACCCATCCAGCGTCCTGGAAAGGTGTTCGACTAGTTGGGTAACGCACCATCATACATAAAGATGCATACGTTCCGCTGCATGTGTATGCTTCCAACTCGGGAAGGAACTCATCCTGCATCATCTTCAGGTAGGTGCTTCCATGTTACTTTGTCATTGAAGAAAAAGGGGCTAACGACGCCCTCTCATTAGATTCCGCACCAGACTGTTACCTTTGGGGACTGCAAAGCTTTCTCGAGCGTCCAGTGCGGATGCTACCCGTCCAGATGAAATGTCGCCTCATCACTAAACAACAGAAACTGCAGATGTGATGGATCTTGTCCAATCTTCAGGAACTCGTCTGTACGGTGTATGAAAGACCCCGTCTTTAACTGGACATTTGGAAGTGTCTATATCGGACAAGTATTAGCCACCATACAAGTATGTCAAACAAATAAAGTCTCCGCGAACCATCTCTTTAGGTGGGAGATAACCAAAATAAACGCCGTTTTGAAAGAAATTAAATTAAGACTGAAAAAGAAAAAGAAAAAAAAAAACTACCTGATACTATATTAAATTGAAACTATTCAAAATAAAGTTTACAAATTAGTTAACAAAATAAAATGCCAAAATTGGGAAATATTTGTAAATGTATTCACTGCCGAATCATTGTTGCAATTTCGGGCGCTTTTTTCCGGTCGCTGTCTTTGGACAGCTCCGTTGGTTGGGATCTTTTTACTGTGATGAATTTCAAGCACTTCAAGGAGCACAAGAAGGCGCCGATACGAATGGACTGGGTTTGACTCTGTGCAAGCAAGCGGTAAGTGCCGATCTCAATTAAGAGGAGATCGGGGCAGTTTCGCGCGGGTCAAAGGGATCGCTGGAGGGACGGCTGGCGACCCGCTTCGCTCTCGCTCGGTCAGTCGCGCGACGAGGAAAACCGCATGAAAGCGGACGCAGTAGAGTTCCGTCCAGCTCCAGGCGGTTCTGTCCCTAGGCCCAGTCGCGAATATTGTTCCTTTTCATCCAAGCTAGAGTAGCGGCTCTCGATCAGGGATATTCATAAACTATAAAAATCATAAAAAAAAAAAGAAATCTTGTGCAGGTTGTACAAATATGTCTGATGATTAACTGGACCTTTTCTTTTTTGGCTACAGTCCAAAGTTTACTGATTGCAGAAACGATTTTAAATGTGAAGAAACGTCCGGCATCAAGTAGGATTTGATGCAGAAAGCCCCTCAATTCTCCCTAATTGAAAAAAGGAAGACGGACAAAAAAGAGATGAGAGAGTGGAAACATGACAAGTAAACGAAGATCACACTTTCACTCTCCAGCCCTAAAAAAAAAAAAAAAAAAAAAAAAAAAAAGTATATCTTACCCTTTTTTTTTTCTTTTTTTTTTAATGCTCATTTTAGACAGTACTAACAAACTCATAAAGCATTATTTATTGCTTTGCAGTAGTTTTTATCCCTACATACTGAAGGAATTCTAGAACTGCATTTTTGCTAGCTGTGTACAAAATGTCTTGGTACAATGGCACAAACAATTTTTGTATGATAGCATCAAAGTCCCATATGTTGAGTGTTAATTAGTTCTGCACTCTAATGAATGTAGTCTTACCAAAGACGAGTGTCCTGAGCGTATTTCTAGGTCCAATTGAAATTCCATTTGTTAGTACAAACATGGTAGCAGTAATTTCGAGCATTGCGATTATTTTGTGTAAAGCAAGGTTGATCCTGCTCCTTCCAAAACAAAGATGAGTGCAATCAGTCTTCCGGTGACAAGCGGCCACTTGTGCCAAGTGTGCCTATGACAAGATGACCTAGATCGAGAAGGCCGCTGTCACCAGTTATAACAAGTTTTCCGGTGACAAGTTAGATTGTGACGAGTGGCCGTGTTCCAATGGAAAACGAACAACCAACTCTGGCTCCCCTTAGGGGAGCCAATCTAGAATGTCTAGTCCAAGCCATGTGTAAGGCCACGATAACTAGCTGCAACTATGAGGATCTGTGCAGTTTGCATTTCAACTTCGTAGCTGTTTAACTCTCATCTATCAATTGTTAGACCGTACGTTCGGGAACTGCAACATCTGCCTTCTCCCCTGCTTGCGTAAGACCAGGTGCAGTGATGCGGAGGCAGCATCGTCCAAAGTTGACGTCACTTAATTGCAGCTATATCAGCTGTTTCTGCAAAGGCTTTTAAAAGTTCCTACTATTAGGGTGTTCGAGAAATAAACTCTTTTTGGGAACAAACTGCCAACCACAGGGGACGTCAAAAGATTGCAGAAAAGGACCACGAATTAGAGAAAATGAACAAATGGTCCTGACTAGAAACTTGCTGAGCGTCATTCCAAACTCATATTAGTCAGTTACAGAAAGACTAAGCATGTGCGAAGCGTGGGGATGCGCTAAAGTTCTCACTCATGAAGCAGGAGGGAGGCTGGTAATGTGAAAATGCCGATGGTAACATCATCATCAGTGTTTTTGCATCGCCAGCCTTCCACCTGCCGAACGAGTGGAAACTTACTCATTTTCACGTTTCACACATGCTTTAAAGGGATACTTCAACGAAATTTGAAATATACCCGTCGCATTGAAAAATAGGTTGAATATGATCCACAATATCCGTAAATGACAATCACACATTTGTATTTTGAGCCATAGAGACCAAAAAATAAGCGCCAAAATTTCGTTGTAGTGTCCCTTTAAAGAGATACTACGATGAAATTTCGGCGCTTATTTCTTGGTCTATTCGTGTACAGGGAGCATTATCACATCAGACACGCCAATCTCTCGTTGAAAAAGACACAAAAAGGAATTTTAAAACAAATTAAACGATTAGCAAAGAGCACTTGGGGGATGTCGCTGACGCCTCGTTTGTAATGCCCGTCTAGGAACCTTGACAGGTAGTGACAATACCTGTCTTGCCTCCGGCCACGACCCGCGAGACTCCTCTTTTGTGTGTCCGAGAAGCCGCTATTGTTCCTTACAAGATTATAGAAGATTAACCCGTCACTCAAAATTTGTACAAAGGCAGCTTTGGGGTTTTTCGCAATGGCCCTATCGCTGGTGTGCTTCGGCTGCTTTCAGCGGGTGCTACGAGCCATCAGGGCCTATCCAAGGCCGTGCAAATATCACATGACCTTGAAGAGCGGGCAGAATGACGCGCGGAAAGCGTATTACGGGCTACGTCCACAGAGCAGGATTGGCTGGGACAGCTCAAAGCGTCCGCACAGTTGTAGTTTGAGCCAGTTTGGTAGTAATGCCCTTAGTTTGCGCAGCATTCCAATTGAACGTGAGATGTTACATCTTAGGTTCTTTACATAATTTGTCCAACTTAAAACTTCCTCAAACCATACTCCAAGAAATTTATGTGCCATAGTAGACTCTAATGTTGAATTTAGAAAGTGAATAAGTGGTTTATACTGCAACGGTTTGTTCTTTGATATAAATATTACATATTTTGTTTTCTTTGTGTTTAATTCAAGCTGATTACACTCTAACCATACAGATAGTTCATTAAGCCAGCTATTTGCAGTTTCTTCAAGCTCTTGCAGATTATCTCTGGAAAAGAAACATTAGTATCATCAGCATACAATATAATATAGGGAGTAAGTGGCAAGTTAACAATATCATTTATATATATTAGGAATAACAAAGGCCCAAGGATGGAACCTTGTGGGACACCGTACTGTATGTGGGAAATCTGCGATCTAAAACCATTCAGGACAGTAAATTGAGTTCTATCGAATAAATAGTTTTTGATAAGGTCAAGAGCTATTCCCCCTACTCCATACCGTGATAATTATCCTGTAAGAATGTCATGCTTTATAGAATTGAACGCTTTGCGAAAGTCTAAAGATATACCGAGTGTGTAAAGGCGAGACTAAATTACTGATTATTTTTTCCTTTATGTTCAACAGAGCCGATTTTGTGGCTTTTTCTTTCTGAAATCCATATTGGCAAGGCGCTATGATGTTTTTGTCAGATAAATAGTTAGAAAATCTATGGTTTATCTTTTTCTCAGCGGCCTTTGAAAATAATGGCAGTATCGAAGTTGGCCAATTGTTATATAGATTACTTAGTGCACCTCCTTTATGTATGAAACATACCCTAGCTCTTTTGCATTTTATGAGGAAATATGCCTGTTTCAAGGATCATATTACATATATGCGCAAAAGGGGAACATATCAGGTCATTTATTGCTTTGATGGGGGGGCTACAGTTAGGTTGTCAAAGCCCAACGCTGTTTTTTAATGAGATAATTATGTTTTTGATCTTGCTGTCACTGGTGGGTGCCATATAAATAGAGTTAGTTTGATTCATATTAATAAAACTTTCATAGAGATCACTGTGAGTTATTGAAGGAGCACTAGCGCCGGCAGTCAAAAAATGAGAATTAAGCTTCTCAGCCAATGACTCGTGCGAATAGGTGTGACCTTCAGTTGTGAGTTCGTTTGGAATGACTTTGGGAACTGACAATAATAGGTCTTTAGCTATACTCCATACTTTCTCAAGGCTATTTGGGACAGATAAAAATTTATTTGTGTGATACCTGATTTTTGCTTTCTTTTTCTTTTAGCTACTTTATTGCACACTTTTCTGTACTCGGCTAGGACTTCAATGTCTTTAGTTTTTATAAACTTATCGAAGAGCCTCTTTCTTTTTGTTATGCTCTTGTATAAATGTGTGATAATCCATGGTTTCTTGGATTTACTGTGCTTCTTGTAATGAACTGCAGGGAACGCTGCATCATAATGTAGTCTTATCTTTACTACAAAGTTGTCATATGCTTTATCAGGGTTCAGTTCGGATAAAACGTTGTCCCAGTTATCTTAGAAACAAGAGCGTAAAATTGCTTAGTATTTTGGTTACTCGTGTCGTGATATGTTCTGTTCTCATGCGAGTTTGATCTCTTTTCTCCTGAGTAGTCTTAGTGTATAAAACAGAATATAGGAAAATGGTCACTTAAAGGGGGACCAGCAGAAATATTCTTCCGCCTGGCGGAAAAAACCTCCTCGCCCTCTTTCTCTCTTGTATTGTAGCACGGCGAGGCGAGGGGAAAGGTCTGCTTTTGCGCCGGCTTCTTCTGAGAGGATAATCCGAGAAAATCCCCTTTCTGAACGACGGGCGATGGGTGCAGCAGCAGCGACCTCGTGACTTACAGGTATCTTCAGCTCCTATCGCATAACCCGCCCTATTTTTTGGCCCTCACCAAGCCTAGCCACTCTGGTGTAGGTTTTACGGAACTGCAAGGCTGCACCCTCGCAGTCACCTAATTTGAGCTCTCAAAGTTCTTTAATTTAGCCCGTGGCAGAGTAAACGCATACCTGGGAGCTGCGATGCATCCCCGCACCCATTGAAGGAACGTTTCATAGATATTCTCGGTTGATCGAGGAGCTCAACACACATGCGCCAAATGTGGTGACCTGAATATGTAAGGATGACTTACATCTTCACAAAACGTTCCATCTTCAAAAAAATGGCTTATCACCTCAAACCTGACTCAAATTGGGATCAATGGAAAAGAAAACGATGTAGCAAGCACGGGCATCTTGTAGAAGGTCTGTTTTTATATTTACGCATCCCAACAACCACATGAGGTGAGAGGGTAGCAATGGTGTGTGTCGATACTAAAAAGTTTTAGTGGATCGTCTTTAGCTCTTGGATAACCATACCCTACAACAATATATAAGCTATAACCTTTCTGTGAGCATTTTGTATCGAGTGCGTCTATCGAAGCGTGTCGTGTTATAGTTTAACGTTGCTTAAATCGGTGCTATAGAACGTGCTGCCCTTTTAAAGTATTTATAAAGCATTA